TGTTTGGCGGGTCCGGGCTGGGGATTCGAACCCACCACCTTAGGTGTACGTGGCTGGTGCCTTAGCCGGTTGAGCTATAGGCGCCGAGCCTCTTTGACTCTTAAGTAACCAAAGAGTCTATTGTTAATTTCCACATATTTTTGTATTTCCCCAATTTTTTCTGTTATTGATCTCTAATTTCATTTAATTGTGGCCAGGTATATACTTTTATTATTTCTATCTTTTTTAATTTCTTAAGGTTTGCTCTGTGGCCAGCATGTGGCCAGTCCTACGTGTACGTGTTCTGCTCTGGCTGGGCAGGTGCTCCAGGAGGCCTGCCAGGTCTCACCCACTTCCCGTGTTGTTTGAGCCTCCGTTCCTGTATTGATCTTCTGCCTAGTTGTTCTGTCCGTGACTATAATGGAGGAATTAAGTTTTCAGCTATTGACAGTACAGCATTGTTAACTTGTCTGTGGCCCCTTCACTTCTTTCAGTTTTTACTTGGTGTATTCTTGTGCTGTTATTATTTGCACATATGTTTATATTAGTTTTATCTTCATGATGGGCTGACCTTTTTATTGCTATACAATGTCTCCTTATCTCTAGACAGTTTTTGTGTTAAAGTCTATTTTATCTGATAGTAGTTTGGCCGCTGCAGTGTTCTTGTAGCTGCTGCTCTCATCTGCGTCTCTCTGCCCACTTACTTCCCATCTGTTGTGCCTCTTGCACAGAAGCTCAGATAAATCTCGTTTTTTATTTAATCTAGTCTGACTCTGTCTACCTTTTGATTGGATTGTCTAATTCACTCACATTTAATGTTATTGTTGATTACATTCTGTCCTCATTACTTGCAGATCTTGTATTTGCAAACTCACCTACTCACTAAAATTGACGTGTAACCTGAAGTCAGTATATGTGGTGCTTCTGTGATCGTCCACAGACTGTAGAACAGTGAGAAATTTGGAACATCTGCGTTCCCAGCTGAGGTTAGATAAGGCAATACTCTGCCTTCTTGATCAGCATCATTTTTATGATCTAATGCTGCATTTTTGTGCATTTTCCCTTGATTTTGCTGTTTAAAATGGGTCTTAGGCATAATGATGACCTCCTCAGTGCTTTTAAGAGCAAAAAGGCAGTGATAAACCTTATGGAGAAAACATGTGTTAGAGAAGCTTTGTTCAGGCGGGAGTTACAGTGCAGTTGGCCAAGGTGAATTATTATTTATTTATTATTATTTATTAATAAATGAACAATTAATATTAAACACACACAAAATATGATTATGTACTGATTAGTTGAAAACTGTGACTGGCATGGTGGCTCATGCCTGTAATCCTAACACTCTGGGAGGCTGAGGTGGGTGAATAACTTGAGCTCAGGAGTTCTAGACCAGCCTGAGCCAGAGAGAGACCATGTCTCTACTAAAATAGAAAAACTGGGGGCAGCACCTGTGGCTCAAGGAGTAGGTCACTGGCCCCATATACCAGAGGTGGCGGGTTCAAACCTAGCCCTGGCCAAAATCTGCAAAAACAAAACAAATAAACAAACAAAAACACTGTGACCAGGGGCTCACAGAATTCTAATGTATTTCTTGAAGGAGCAATGATGTAGTTTTTGCTAACTCAGTATTCACAGTGACCTCATATCGCATGGTTGCCACCAGTACTGAGAATCGACTGTGGTTTAGGACCCTGCTTCTTACATGTCCCATGTGGTCATTCTGGACACTGTCCCTCTATGCTCTCTCTCCTGCTTCCTTTTGCATGGTGAATATTTTCTAATGTAACATTTTGATTTCTTTAATGTTTCTTCGCCTGCTTTGGAAGCCTTCCCTTAGTGGCTGCTCCAGGGCTTACCACAGACTTACTTTAACTTATCATAATCAACTTCAGATTTATATTAACTTAATTCTATAACAAGGTTGCTTCTCTATAACTCTATTCCCTTTTCGTGGTCTTACTATACATATTACATCTATAAATGTTTAAAATAACAGTATGATTGTATAATCATTACTTTCTATAATTTTGTGAGTTTTAAAGAAGTTTAGAGGAGAAAGAAGAACAAATAGAACATGAGTATTTATGGGTTTTGTTAACTTTTTTTACTCATTTCTGAGTCTCTTCGCTCTTCCCCTGTGGATTCCAGTTGACGTCTGCATTCGTTTCCCTTGTCCGGTACAACTTTGCTTCCAGCCCGTTCTCTGTGCTGTCGCGTCAAGAGTATCAGGTGTCTACACATTACAGGCTCAACAATATCCTATATGTGTTTTTATACATTTGCTGTTTCGATCAGTTAAGAGAATAAAGGAGAAAATATGTATTTGTATTGTCTTTTATAATTATCTTTACTCCTGTTTTTTTATTTCTTTTTGTGGGTATGAATTTCTGTCTGGAGTCACTTGTGTTCAGTCTGAAGAACTCCTAGTGTGTCTTCCAAGATGACTCTGCTGAAGACAGATTCCTTCCATTTTTATTTATCTGAGAATGTCTTTATTTTGCCTTCATATTTGAAATCTAGCTTTGTTGATAGAGATTCTTGGCCGACAATTTTTTTTCTTTAGTACATTGAAATACCCTCCTACCGCCTTCTGGCAGCCATTGTTTCTGATAAAAAGTCAGCCATCAACCTTCTTTGTGTTCATTTGTTAAGATTCACGATATCTCTCTTGTTGCTTTTAAGATTTTCTCCTAGTTTTTGACTTTCAGCGTTTTTACTATGATATGTGTATTTGTGGATCTTTTGTGTATATTCTACTTGGAGTTTGCTGATCTTCCTGAATATGTACATTAATGGTTTTCAATGAGGTTGGAAAGTTTTCAGCCATTATTTCTTTGGAATAATATTCTCCCATTGGGGCCGACTTTGCCAGGCGCTCCTCCAGTAGACCCTTAGCCCCATCCATCAGAGGTCAATGAGGCTTCAAACCTTGTAGCCCACTGACTTAATGGGAAAAATTTTGGAGATCCCTTCAGTGCTTGCCCTTACCATTTCAGAGACCAGACAAAGTATAGTGACAAAAGGATGAGGAGACAGGGGCACCTGTCCGAACTTGGCGTGCTCACCAGGCACGGGGAGTGGGCCACTGCACACAGCTGTGCAGGTGCCAGTGAGACTGGCTCCATGCACATCCAGCCCGTGGTATTTGTATGTCTACTATGATGATGTACAGGGAATCACCACATTCCAGTGATATTTTTGCCCATGGAATGGGACAATCCTTGAGACCCCATTATGTTTTGCATGCAGGGGCTGCAGGAGCCCCCAAGCACCCCATTGCAGGTGGTCCTGCCTGAGTCATGAGGGAAAGAGAATGTGTGAGCACTATGCACACTACTAGGGAAAGTTCTGTAACAGTAGCATGAAGTGAGACGAGGCATTTGCCACCACGTCTCCCCTGCCAGGCTAGGCCAGCACCTGCCTCCCTGCCCTCTATGGGAGCCAAACTCTGCAGGAGGCACTGTTCCCTCAT